TTTATTATTCCCCGTGTTATTGTAAGTTACTGTTCACTTTTGAATAATGTAGTTAATCTGCTATTATTAGTTTGTTTAATATCGAATCATACCAATTTGTTTTAAAGCTCAATAAATAACAAAGAAGACCTTTGACCGGCACTTTTCTCATTTAGTCGGGGAGATTTAAACTTTAACAAACATGTTGACCGGCGAAAAAATATTATAACGGGAACTCTGATATCAGTATGTTTTACTTTTTTTGACATTAATATTTCTTTTATTTATGAATAATAAATATTTTCGTTCCATTTTATTCGTGTTTATACATTTTTATTTTAAGATTTCCTTTTTTCTTTAATTTCTTATAATTAAATACATATTTTAAGTCTTTATTTTGGGGGCATTTCTCCTAAATCTTCTAACGTTTATATATGTTTTGACTCAATTTTGATGTCAAATGTTCTCTTTATTTGACTTTTAGTTTCTCATACCTATATTTATTTTTCATTTAAAAACATTTATTTTTAATCTTTTATTTACTTTTAAATATGGAGCATCTGTCAGGAAACCCAATTTCTCCCAGTATAAATAAAGTATTCATATCCTGATCATTCGGTCTCCCATGCAGTCCAGCACGGACTCTGAGCCTCTGTACGTGGTGGAGGTTCTGGTTCACTGCAGTAAGGACAGCGTGAAGGATGCTGCCACTGAGGCAGCTAAACCTGCAGCTCCAGGAGAGACCGGGGAGATGCAGGTGAGACAGACAGACAGACAGACACTTTTTGTATTATTTGTATACATTTTTTAACATATAAAGCTTGTTTTTAGGCTTTTTAGTGAAGCTTTAAATATTTAATCGATGTATACATTTTTTTTTATTATACCCAAAGATCTAAATCGAGAATAACCTAAATGTTGTTGTTGTTTAGAAACCACATTGCTTCACTTTTAAAGATTGGATGAACCCCAACACACACACACACACACACACACACACACACACACACACACACACACACACACACACACAGAGCTGTACCAAAAGTCTGTTATGTTATTGATAAAACATGGATTTTATGATTTACAAAATTCATAACTTGTTTCTTTCTAACAAAATACCTTTGCTTCAATTCTAAATTTGAAAGATTTGGGCTTTTAAAAACATGTTCACTGTGTTTAAAACTCTGCACACGAAGGGAGGAACACACTGACACTAGTTATATTAATTAAAGAAAGACTGGTCCGTCAATGGTTTTTTGGGTTGTAAGCCTGTCATAAGGTCTGAGGTTAACACAAGCACAAACATTTTTATAATTAATAATACATATTAAAAAAAATGGAACCTGGGAGACACGTTGCCTTCAGGGTCCTCTACGAAAATACGACATCCCTGCACCACTTACAATGATGTTGTTCTCTATTTCCAGGTGGTCCCAGTGATGCTGCATCTCCTGACCTCCATCAGCTCCGTCCGTCTCTACATCCCCAAAGATCTGAGGCCCTTTGACAACCGGCAGCTGATGCTCAAGTCCATCCAGGTACATCATAATTATATATATAATAATTATTATAGAAATAGAATAAACAACTTCTATAAACACAAGACGTTAAAGTTAAATGTCCAATAAAAGATACAGTAAAATAAAACTATTTAGATAAACAAAATATTTTTTATATTTTTTATTTGTATGTAATTTTATTTATTTTAACTACTTTTTGTATTTTATATATTTTAAAGCTTATTTTTAGGTTTTTAAGTGGAGCTTTTAATATACAATATATTTACAAGATCTAAATCAAAAATGACCTAAAAGAAAAACTGTTTTTTCGTCGTTGTTTAGAAATCAAGATTGGACACACACACACACACACACACACACACACACACACACACACACACACACACACACACACACACACACACACACACACACACACACACACACACACACACAATTCAGGGGACATTACATTGACTTACATGCATTTCCTGGAGATTTATCATAACCTTAACCATAACCAACACAAAATTAATGATTCCCGTCATGGGGACTTCCCTTATGTCCCCATAAGGGAGACGAGTCCCCACACGTGACTGCGTAAACAGATTTAGGTCCCCACAAGGATAGTAATGCTCGGACACTCACACTCAAGTTCAGAATCCAATGTCTGTGTAAATACAATTTGGAGGCTTGTCTAAGACAGCTTATAATAGGGAGTTTCTTATAATAATGAAAGTTGTGCTTCTTTTATTTGTGTAGTACTCAAACTGTACATTAGTTAAAGACCTTATACATCGTTTGACATTGGCGAAAATGTCATATTCTTTTTCAATTATGGCAAAAATTTACACAATTTATATTGTTGTGTAATTATCTACTGCTGATCTCATATTTATATTTTATTTATTCAATTATTTGTTTGTTTGTTTATTTATTTTTTTATTACATTTTGATTAATATAAAAAAATTAATTATATTTATTTTAGTTTTCAACTTTTTGAATGTAATTCAATTTTAACTATATTATTAGTTTTTACTATTTTTGTCACAAACAACAAATTAAATAAAAAACGTTTCTGAAAATCATTACTCTCTCTTTTCTTTTCTTTTGCGTGCAGGAGGTACAGAAGCGTTTCCCGGACGGCGTTCCTCTGCTGGATCCCGTGGACGACATGGGCATCAAAGATCCGGCGCTGAAGAAGGTGATCCAGAAGGTCGAGGCCTTCGAGCACCGCATGTACTCCCACCCTCTGCACAGCGACCCCAACCTGGAGGCCGTGTACTCGCTCTGTGAGAAGAAAGCTGTGGTGAGAAAACTGACCTTAAAGGGGCCCTTTTACACCTCCATTGAACTCCTTTGTTTAGTTCCAGAACATAGTGACATCACTGTCATACTGTGCTCCTATTGGCTAGCACTCCAAAACACATTGATGTGATCTCTAAGAGGCTGACAGATCACAACTACCAGTCAGAGCAGATCACTATTATTATTAATATAATTTATTCATGAATTTTTTTTCTTCTTCAATTTTTACAAATATTTGTTAACATGTGGAATTAATTTTAATTATCTTTCTATCATACAAATTCCAAGAATAATTAAAAATAACATGTTATTCAGTATTTATGGGTCGAAAATTGATTTGTGCATCTCAATTCTAGGTCCTAATTTTATATATTTTCTTTTTTTGCATTTCAGTCGAAGGTGTTTTAAATGTACAGATTATACATGTATGTGTAATTTAGCTGAAGGTAATAAACAACAGTGTTTAATGAGAGCTGAAACAATTAACTCTGCTAGCCAATAGGAGACTAATAGCCTATTTTATTTAAAGGTGGCCTATCATGCAAAATGCACTTTTCTACGTCTTTTCTACATGAATATGTGTCCCCGGTGTTCCAGGGAACTCACCAAGTGTCAGAAAACACAACCCTCTCTATTTTCCTCCATACCCAAATCTCTTAAAAAGGGGCTGCAACGGATCTGATACAGACTGATCCAGATTTTAACACTTCTATGACGTCACAGAAGTGGCGCTACGGCTATTGGGCCAACTCCACCAATCAGTAGGAGACAGCCACGGACATTGCCATTGGAAAGCGCTGGAGACGCTGTAGTACATATGCCAGGCCTGTAGATGGTGCTGTTCTCACAGAATCAGCCCATGCAAAGACAGTGTTAAATTGAGCGAAATGAGGAATGGCTAAAATGCATGATCTGTTTGGTATTTTGAAAAATAAAAAGTATAAATATGCCTTATATAGCTATGGTCCTACACTATATTATTCAAATATAGCATGATAGGTCCACTTTTAAAACAAATGAACAGTTTCCTTTGAATATCAGCTGTTCTTTCTGTGGTACTTTGCTGACAGTTTTTGGAGTTTCTAGATGTGTTCACGCATAGTTTTGAGACAAATCTACCTCCATAAAAACCTAACTTAATGTCAAACCTCACACACATTAAACACAGTGGGTTTTGTTATTGTTTAATTATTAATTACTTTTTTTAATCTACATTTGCTTCCTTTTGTTAGATTACAATCTGTGACCTTCAGTTGTCTTTCCTGCCAGACGTGTCGGCCTCAGCTTTAAATATCTTTACAGACAAACACAGGAAGAGAGCGAGGGCATTGTTCATGCAGCGCCTCGCCCTCCGGTCAGATCAGAGGAAAAACGTGTCATAAAGCGAGGGGATCTATTCTTGGGATATTGAATAAACAGAGCAGTCACTGAGTCTCTACGGGGAGGAAGTCCAGCACAGAAAGAGATGAACCAGAACACGTTCATTAATTATTAAAACCAACCAAAAACAGCCATATCTTATTTTAAATGTTGCCATTATTGCTATTTTTTTTTAATGTAATATTATTATTATTATTATATATCTTTAGGTTTTTTTTAAATTGTATTTTCTATTAAAAGTTTTTTTTTTTTAATACTATTTTTTTTTTTATATTTCTATGTAGAAAAAAATATTTTTAATGTAATACTTTTTGTGTTATTTTACAAAAAATGTTAACCTATAAAGTTTTTTTTTAGGCTCTTTATTGAAGCTTTAAATATTTTATATATATATATATTTATAAACAATATTGAATATAGCCATGATCTAAATCGAGAATAACCGAAAAGAAAAACTGTTTTGTTGTTGTTTAGAAACCACATGGCTTCACACACTCACACACTCACTCACTCACTCACTCACTCACTCACTCACTCACAGACAGAGACTCACACACTCTGTACTCAGCCTGCAGTTGATGACTTAATGAAATTATACTTTATAATTGGATTTGGCAGTAAGTAGGAACTCCTGATGTTCCCGTCTGGTGTGATGAGGTTCATCCGACCTGTGGTTCCTCAACAACAACAACAACAGCAACAACAATAACACATTTATTAGGGTTTTACTTCTTGGTAATTCTCGATTTCGATCTTTATTTATGTAGTTTGTTGTGAGTTTTGTTATGTACATTTGTAAGTGTTTTCTTATAATTTGACCATATAACTCTCAAATTATATCCACGATTTCTCCCTTAATGCACCATTTTAATTATGGATATCCTGCTAATTTAAATGTGTATCCACCATTTCTCAAAAAACCAACCAAAAGTGTGCTTAATTTGCAACTTGAATCCTAAAAAATGTCCACCTTTCTTACGTACATTCGTAACTTTACGGCGAATATCTACGGCCTTGCTCCCTGAACGCACCACTTCAATTATGGAAATCCCGGTAATTTAATCATGTAAATGTTTGAATTTTACCGTAAATGTGTTAATATCAGAAAATATAGATATTTTTCCCCATAATTGCACCACTTGTTTTCTTTTAATATTACCCCTTCCCCTGGTTATTTTTCATTCATTATTTTCTGACCACATCCTCATATTTTTAAGCACTTTCCGCAAGATTACAGGTATCCGAAAGCCTCCATTTCCAAAAATTATTATTTATTCTTTCTCTGGTTAGTGTTGATACAGTAAAACATGGAGGACAGATAATCTCCTGTAAAACTCCAATATTTCCACTTCCTTTCAGATGATTTCATGCACAAAACATCTGTCACTGTAGTTCCTTCCGTCTAATCCAAACATCAATATGTCCATGTAGCAATGAGCCTGACTCCAACAAAAATACGTCTCGGGAAGTTTGGTTGACTCTTTACTTAAACAAAAGATATCGGTACAAAAAACGTCAAAAAACGATATTGCTATGACCTCAATTTTACAACAGCTGGTTTAAATCAAATATATAATACTAATAACAAAGAATTACAATGTTCAAATATATATACACACAATATATCAAATTATACATTTTAACATATGACTCCTACAGTCACTATCAACGTCCTTTAAATAATCTTTACATCCAGAGGTGGGAAGCAGTGGAGT